ATATCTTGTGCGAGGCATTTTTTTAATATTTTTTTTTGTTGTTAAAAAATATATATTTATATAATATCATTTTTTTTAATTTTTTTACAGATTTAATTATATAAAATAAAATGAGTGAAAATGAATTAACAAATATCTTGTCATTCTATCTTGAAGCCTATTGGCAACAATTTGCTATTTATTTGAACATGCATCGCTGTGTTATTGATGCCATTGACAACGACTACAATAGAAGTTATTTAAAAATATGTCGAGTCATACGTTATTTTTACAAGTTAATCCAGAAGAAAAAATTAATCCGCAATTTATATTAAAAACATTACAAAGATGGTTGATTGACGAACAACAAAAAAATAATTTTAAATTAATAAACAATTTAAACGAATTGATTATTAAAGTTAAAAACTTTATTATTGAACCCATGGAATATTAGTTTTTTATATTTTTTATATTATTGTAATTATTTTTAGATTAACTAAAAAATAATGGAATCCATTTATGACGATGTTAACAAGGCTATCTACAAATATGGCAAACCTGTTATAAATAATATCGAGTATGTAAAACCGTACGAGGCCATATTTGTAGATGGCAACTCGGTTTTCAATTTGAAAAACATCGATGTAATTGATGAAAAGGAGGACTACGAGATGGATGATGACGATGAATACGATGATGATGATGACGATGAATACGATGATGATGATGATGATGACGAATATAATGATGATGATGATGATGAATATAATGATGATGATGGTGATAAAGAAAACGAACCTATAGAAATAGACAGTTGACTTTTTTTTAAATTATTTTGTATTTTTTTATTTTTAATGTCCCTTTAGTTTTGAGTGTTTTAAGAAATTTATTTTCTCAAAGCAGCCAAAACTAAAGGTATAAAAAATAAAAAAAACAATGGAATGGAACTTTTATATTTTTAATGTCCCTTCAGTTTAAATTGTTATCAGAAATTATTTTCTGATAGCCATTAAAACTAAAGGTATAAAAAATAAAAAAAACAATGGATTGGAACTTTATTATTTTTAATGTCCCTTTAGTTTAGACTATCCTTAAAAATTTATTTTCTAAGCCAAAACTAAAGGTATAAAAAAATAAAAATAATGGAAACACTTTTGTTTACAATTATTATGAATATGAGATTACTTTTTCTATTCAATAGAAAAGGCAATTTCGTGTTCATAACAATGTAACATATTTTACTGAACAGCTGTCATTGCAATCGATATATAATAAAAATAATAATTTGTATTTTTTTACTTTTAATAATAAATATATTTTTTTTATAATATGTTAACCCTATTCGACTATAATTTTACCCGTAATATTACATAATATTACCCATAATATTTAAAAAAAAATTTTATATTAATTTAATACTTTTTTTAGCAACTAATTATACAAAAAATATGGCTGAAGCTATGGAAAAAGAATTATGTTATTATTGCAAGTTACCCTTTACTATTGATCAATTACTTAATCATCAACTAAAATGTAACACATCACAAGATTATGATTGTTATAGCTGTGGAAAAAAAATTAAATTGACAGATACTTGGGAACATGAATGTGAAATTTATAACGAGGAACACGTAGAAAGAAATCAAACTAAATTATGTGTATTTTGTGGAAATCAAATTCAAAAAAACATCTATGATCAACATGTCATCGGTTGTTTACATCGTTTTGAAAATGAATGGAAAGAAATAATGGAGAAACAAAAAAATATTATTATGGATCAAAAACAAAGTTTAACTTTTTTAAACATGACTACTAATAACATTCTAAACAGTTTAGAAACTGTTAACAAACAAATAAACGCATTAACCAAACGAATGGACAACATGGCTTTGGAAATGAAAGAGTTTGTGAATAAAAACACATTTGAAAAAATATTAAACAACATCAGCTTGGAAATGAAAGAATTTGTGAATAAAAACACATTTGAAAAAGAAGTGAAAGATATCAACGACAAATTCATGTCTAATAATGTAATTATAGAATTGGACCAAATGGATTTAAGATTGCAATCTAACGAATCTTATCATACTCAACCTTCTTATACTGTAGATGGTTATTTATACCGATTTAAAATTTTTGGCTACAGTAATCAAGAAGATAAATTGGGCATTTATTTTCAAATGATACAGTCTCCAAAAGATCATTCTTTAAAATGGCCGTTCATGAAAACTGTAACATGTACAGTTAAAAACGAATGTATTGAAAACACAAAAATAATAGCCAATTATAGCGAACCGTTAAAAGAATGTTTTGAAAAACCTGCTCAAGCTTATAACCGAGCTATTGGAACAGATAATTTTGCAACACATGATCAATTAAAAAGACATTATATAAAAAACAATAAACTTATTATACACGTTTCTTTTATATAATTTGTTATGTATTTTTTTGTATTTAATTAATCATATAATTAATAAACTTATTATACACGTTTCTTTTATATAATGTATTTTTTATATTATATATTTTTTTATATAATGTTATATTTTTTTTAGAATATTAAAAAAATGAACAGTGCAATCATGAGAGATTTAGCTGACTACATCACTACGTCTGATGTACGAAAATTAAAAATGTTTTTAGAAATTCCGTACGGAATAAGAGAGAAAATTAAAGATGGACTAGATTTAATGGAATATATACAGTTCAAAGATTTCGTATATCAACACTATGAATACAATACTAACGAGGCTAAAATCAAACTTATTTTAAATTTGTTAAATGAAATCGGTAGAAAGGATATCTATAAAAAGTTTATAGTTAAATTTGAAAAACCACCATCATACGAAGAAAGTGTAAATCCTCCACCGTATGCAGAACTGGAAAATAGAGACAGTTATCCAAACTTTAAAGTGGCAGATCCATTTTGGGCAATACACGCAAAATGTAATACTCCGTCGTATTATCCGCCTAAAGTTATTAGTTTAAAACAAAAAGAACTGTTGAACTATTATAATAAAAAATAATTTTTTTTTTAAATTTTATATGACCTTTTTTAATTTGTATATTTTTTTTAGCAATGAAAAAAGAACAATGAAATAAAGTACTTAATGAATTACACGAATTTTATTCAATAAAGCAAAACAAGTTGATAGAATGGAATTACAACTATGATCTTGTTTTCAATCTTGTTACAAATGTTAAAACATGGTCTTTACAAGATTTATGTAAAAGAAAATTAGCTTACGAAAAACTTTTGAACACTGTTATACCAAATTTACAAAAACAAATTAACAATTTATTGAATACGTTTTTTGATGGAAACGAAAAATTATTATTCTATCATCAAATATATACTGATCATTGTTTTGATAGCATTATTAACAACATTAACAATGCGAAATATATTTATAAAAAACATTATTTATTTGTTCAGAAATTAATTATTCATTATGTATATCGATTTTTTGAAAAAACTTATTTTATGTTTCGTTATAAAACTAAGCAATACAAATTAGTTATGTCATCTTTTTTTAATATTTATATGCAATGTATAGATTGGTTAATTGAACAATGTAAATTTGTTTATGATCCTCATTTTAAACCTTGTTATATTTATAAATATGATTTTATTTAGAATGTTAAGAAAAAATTTACTTAGACATGCTAGAATACATTATGATTTAGAAGAATTTTTATCAATAAAAGAAACCATGGCGAAACAATTGCAAATTAATAACTATGAAATATGCTTTCATGATAAATACTATCGTGAATGGACTTTGAAAGATTTATGTAAAAGAAAGTTAGCTTCTGAAAAATTAATACGAATTGTCATACCAAATTTACGTAAACAAATTAACAATTTAATGTATTCGTTTTTTCAAAATAATCAAAATATTTTATCACTATATTCTGTTTACAAATCACACGAAGACGATTGTTTTGAATTAATTGAAATACGGACATTAATTAGACCGTTTTATTTGAATATTCAATTATCCATTGTTGATAATATATATAAACTTTTTGTAAATACTTATTATATAAATTGTTTTTCTGCTACTAAGCAACATAAATTAATTATGAAATCTTTTTTTAATATTTATATGGAATGTATAGATTGGTTATTTAAACAACATGAATATGTTATTAATCCTTATTTTAAACCTAATAGAAATGACATGTATGATTTTATTTAACTTTTTATTTTAGAATAAAAAAATGAAACTAATTACTGTTGACGATCAAGACTTTTTATTTTTTAACAGAGAAGAATCCGATATAATGACAAAATTTTTAAATGTTGAACATGAAAAGATTAATGATCCATCGACATTAAAAGCGTTTGGCAATATATTATTAATGGTACAAGAAGAAGTTTTAAAACAAACAAACTATTTACAAAACATTGAGAAAACAGAAGAAATAAAACGAGACTTTTATAATTTTGTAAAACAAATATTATCATGAGAAAAAAAACAAATTTTTACATTAATAAATTTTTTCATTTAATATATTGTCTCTTTCCTTTTTTATAATATGATAACATTCCAATACATCTTTTTGTAAATATAATCCTCCAACTAATCCTTTACAATAATAACACAATTGTTGAACTATTATTTTTAAACTATTTACATAGTTTATTTTTTTATAGAATTTATCTATACACGTAAAATAATAATAAAATGTTTTTAACACATCAAGACAATGTTCAATGACTTCACTATAATTATGAAAACACGTGTCAGGATAAAATACGCGATGCGGAAGACATTTAAATAGCAAATCAAGAACTTCTATCAACTCTTTTTGATATGTCTTTATCAATTTTAAATCTTTAATATAAAAACCGTATACTCTTTTACAACTATCCAATTCGCTTTCTTCAGCTAAAAGAACTTTATCCATCCAAACACCTTGATTTAAATGCGTTTTCTGTAAATGTTTTTTTAAATCTAAATTAAGTTGATATAAATATAACAAACAATCGTCCGTCGCATCAAAAGACATTTTGATAAATGAATTTTTTATTTACATATATACAATTTATTTACAAATATATTTTTATATACAATAACAACAACCGCGGCACCGCTCAAATAAATCTTGTATGTACGGGCACACGGTTGTTGCGCAACAATGATTATGTTCGCTTTCTTCGCCTTTACATAAACAACATCCTAAACAAACCACTCGTCTAGTTGTTGAATCTCCATTAAGTGAAAAATATCGTTCATTTCGATTCATTATGCCGTCGTTTAAATGACGATCAATACGAATCATAATACCATCGAGTATGCGAACTTGTTCTAAAAAAATTATTTTAAACTAAATATTTTTTAAAAAAAAATTATTATAAAAAATTTTTTTTTAATTTACCATCGTCTATTTCTGGAATATCGTCGTAGATTTCCAATTGGTCTTCGTATGTTTCCTCATCTGATTCCTCAAGTGGTCTTGTTTCAACCACTTGAGGTACATAATTTTGAGGCGCTTTATAAGCATTTTCGGGCACATAGGGTTTAACAACCTAGAAAAAATACACATCCATTTTAAAAAAATACAAAACATTTATTTTAAAAAAAGAAAACAATAAACTTACAGCTACAGGTTTGACAAATAATTGACGTTTGACTTTTATTTTTTTACTTTCCTCAATTTTTTTTACTTTACCCATTTTTTTATGTTGTAAGAAACAATTATATAATTTGATAAAATGCTTTTTTATATTTTTTATAACGAATATAATTAAAAAGCATTTGCTTTTTTATATATTTTTTTTTATAACGCTAGATTAACTTTAAACAAAAAAAATTTAATCTTTTTTATTTTAAAACATTATCGGATTATAACGTTATGACGTTATCGGATTATGACGTTAGTTATGACGAAGGTCGGGATGGAAGGTTGGGAGGAAAGTGAGTAAATCCTATATAGGTATATCATCATCATATATATATATATATATATATATATATATATATATATATATATATATATATATATATATATATATATATATATATATATATATATATATATATATACATATATCCCTTTTCCCGTTTTTGTTGCATATTTGCAACAAATGATTTGGTGATAAATATTTTAGTAATAAAGCTCATCCACTTCACAACAAAAGTTGTTGTTCAAAAGTTGAAACATTTATTTTAGACCTTTATTTACTATTTTGATGCAAGAAAACACAAGATAGTTTTTGTTGTATTATGGCAGCTTATAACAAAAATGCTGTTTTCGCTAAGTTTCAGAAACTGCCATTACTTTTTATTTGTTGAAGAACCTCTCTGAGAGAGGTCCCAGGTGTTGGGAGCGGTAACTTTTATATTCTTTGAATGATAAGGAATCTAAAGTTACAAATAGAAGAATATAATAAAAATTATACATTTGCAATTATTTAAAAAAAAAATTAGCATAACCTTACCATTTTCATTCGAAACAGAAAATGTTAAAAAAAAAAAGAGAGCAAATTAAAAAGGGTTAAACATGCAACATTTTGTATTTTAATAAATATATAGGGCAATAATGCAACCAGTTCAAAAGTGTCATATTTATTAATTAATTTTTCCACTATTGCACATATTTCTCCATACAAAAAATATAAAATATAAAACACAGCCCTACCATCTATACTTCCACCAGACACTAAAGACAAATATATACTTAAATAAGTATAAAATAATTGATAAAATAATGTTAACATATAAATATATACATATCTAAATAATTGTTTAACCCATCCCCCTCATTTCATCCATAAAGTTGTCTAAAGTAAGAAAAAAAAAAAAAAAAAGCTTAAAACAAAACTATAAACTAAACCAAAACTATAAACTAAAGTAAATTTTAAATCTTCTAAATATTAATGCTTTATTTATTAAACTAAACTAATCATAATTTATACTTAGTTTTTGTTCCAACTCCCCTAAAAAAAAGTATAAAATAAAGCTAAAGAACTTGATTTTTTAAAATTCCAGTGGCAGTACAAATAAACAAATTCCTGTTAACAAATATCTAATAGCAAAAACACTGACTTATTTCCTTCTTCACTTCTGTATCTAAACAATAAAAGCACTTTAATGTTTAGACGTTAAAATATCGATAAAATACTTATTTAATGCCACATTCAACTAACTAATGTAATTAAAACCTTTATTAGATCTCTCTTGATTAACTAAAGAATTTAAATTTTAAATAAACTCTAACTAAATTTTAACAAACAAACAACCGAAATAAGTCTTCGCTTTAATAGTACGTTATTAAGTTGATTAAATAGATCAAACAATTTAATCTACTCTAATTATCTACTACCTTATTTAACTTTAATTACCTTATTTAACTACCTTATTTTAACTTTAATTATTTTTCTACGACTCAGTGTAACTATAATATAGATATTTTTAAAGTAAAAAAGAGTTTAATATTATAATATATATGATTTTAAAAACCTGAATTTTTAAATCTACCTCGAAGAAAACAGATATATATTGAAAAGTATTTTTATTTCTTTTTAAGAATTTAAAAATGCTTTATAACTTACTTGTTTCAATATTATTACCAATATCTAAATATAAAAACAAACATTCAAGTCGATAAAAACAAACATTCAAGTCGACTCATTTTTAAATCTTATAATATATATGATTTTAAAAACCTGAAACTTTAAATCTACCTTAAAGAAAACAGGTATATATTGAAAAGTATTTTTATTTCTTTTTAAAAATTTAAAAATGCTTTTTACAAAAATTTAAAGTTCGTTTAAACCATTTTAATATTGTAAAGTTAATTTAAATTAACAAACATATAAATGCAATTTATAACATTTGTTTATAACAAAATGAAACAAAACTTACTTCTTAGTAATTCAGCAACTAAAAATAAACATATATTTAAGAACTAACAACATAACATTATACATCTGTAACATAATACACATCTAAATAAATACAAACCTTCATCTTCAACCTGATTCATTCAATTAATTCGATATAAAAAATATGCTTAAAAACAAATTTAATAAAGGTAATAGACATGTTAAAACATAAAAAATGAAAACGATTGAATTGATTACACAGAATATGACCTACTTCATAGGTACGATTAGATGTAAAGAAAATTTATAACGAAAACGCGCTTTTTAAAAGTCTCAAAATTTCAATCTCAAAAATCTAGAACAGAAGGAAAACTGCGCACACCAAAACTGTGCATCACTGAGCGCAGTAACTAAAGTAAAAGAGCATAACTCTTTAGTAACTTTAGCTATGCAAATTACATCACGGTTAGCATGTTTAATTAAGTACATTATGATTATCAACTTTAAAAAATATCTAAAATTTAAACTCATTACGCAACTAATCAGCTATTTACTAATTTGTGCAATAAACATATCTGTACATATAGATAATTTTTGGAGATAACTTGTATCAATTCCATTTTTGTTTAAATGAGTTAAATAAAAACTTGTTGTATATTCTGTCGGGCCAAATAGCCTTCTAATCTATATTTACTGCGGTTTAACAGGAAACCAAAATCAATCTAGTTTTAAATCCATTTTATTAGCTAAAAAAATCATAAAAGAGTATTACTATACTATCACATTTATACTTGTATGTATCACATTTTGCTACTAAAAATGTTTTAAATTGACTTTTGAGGTTGTTAACGTGACATAATCTCATGTTTGCAAACAAAGCTAACCGGACCCGGTCATGTTAAGCCTTCTTAACTCTGACCATTTCTATATTGAATAGATGGCCTCTTTATTTCAATAATTTTTTGCAAACGGTAAAGTAATTTGCTGCCATTTACTAAATATTCCTTTTATTACTCGAAGTTTTGGTTTCGTCAATATTTTGACATCTCCGCTAATTAAGAGCCCCTGCCCTTTTTTGTTTTAATGGTAGCCATGTAAGTAGAGTTTTTTTTATTAAGAGTAATCAATTTTTGATGAAGACCTTTTACCAAATTAATAAAGCGTAAAACAACGATTTACATATATAAGAATTTTTTCTTTCCTCAAAAGTGTTGCAATTGCAGATTAAACTAATCAACTTAATATTTGACGAATGCGCAAAACTGCAAGTCTCCCTGTGTTTTTAAAAATTTTAAAGCTTGTTTTTAATTACGACCCCCCGCCGTTTACGAAGATCACCTTAGATACGAACAACGAACTATTAGAGCATAAGATAGGGAAAACATCGAAAAAAATATATATTAATGTCTTTATAGCTTTTTACCAAACGAACAAAATTTTACAAATTTAGGAAATCAAGTTTTTTTTTTTTTATATCGTATTAATACGTCATATGGTAAAATCTAAAATAAAAAAAGTAACGGAATTATAACATCATATATATATATATATATATATATATATATATATATATATATATATATATATATATATATATATATATATATATATATATATATATATATATATATATATATATATATATATATATATATATATATATATATATCATATATAAACACTGAAAATCGATTTACCTGTTTTTGTAACCTTTTGATATTTCAGTTAATATAAACATTTATAGAAAAGGTAGCTGTAAAATCTTTTTCGAAGTACTAAAGGATTAACAATACTAAAGAAAAAAAATCAAATAAAGACATAAATTGAATTTTTAGCAAGATTTTGTCTTGGCTTTTAGTAAATGAGTAAAAGCAGCAAGTTCCAATAATGAAACTATCTATTATTCATTTTTAACGATAGACACCAACGGAAAGGTAAGCCAAGCTGTCTATCAACACAAAACATCACAACAATCTAACAATATTATACATTATAACAATACATTACAACATTATAACAATAACACATAACATTAACACATATTTACACCTATATAACTAATATTTACACCCTTGACTCTAAAATTCAGTGGAAAATAACAAACCAATTTTAAAAGACTATGAAAGGCAAAACTAAAAAAAACAATTTTGAGTTATCTATATTTATCCTTTTACAAAACTTTAATATAGTGTATTAGAAACATGATTTTTTTAGTTATACCCCAACTCTATCAAATTGTTGACCTTGACTTTTATTGATTGTCATCGAATAAGCCAATCAGACGACGAAAACTGATGACTGAAACTGACGACGTTTTAGAACAAAAGGTAAATTAGAATCTGATGGAGCCAACTGAATTCGAGGAACAAATACCCGTTTACCTTTAGAAACACCTGTCAAAACCTCTGCATCAATATAATTGTTTTGGAGAGCACAAACTTTCATTCGGGTTCCATTACATAGCCCAGCTTTAAGATCTAAATTTCTAAGTAGCATAATTACACAAACAATTTTCATTTTTAAACAATGAGTAGACATACCTGAGGGAGTTAAGCTATTCAAAAACTCAACAGGGAAGTTATTTATTTCATTAAGATCGTCAGTGTCTTTTTGATCAGCACTTAAATAAGTTTTTACCTCTCCATGTAGACGTTCAAGCACTTCTTTATTGATTGACAATGAATCCACATTAGTGGGTGTTAAAATGACACGTTTAGCATAATCATCTTGTTGAGCATCTCAAATATTTTTTCAACAATGGATTAGTTTTCTCTAATTATGCACTGTTGCGGTATTTTAATACATCCCTTAAAAGGATCTTCCTCCTGGACAGGTATTGTTCCACTACCAAGTTTTAACAGCCATTCGGAAAAATCTCCTTCTCCATCACGTACTCTCATATTTTCAGTTAATGTAAACTTCTGCACCCATTGCCACTGTAAAGAACATTTTATACATGATTCTACAACTTCAGCTGGTCTCCCTCTTTTCACAACAGGCAAAATTTGCCTAAAGTCACCACCAAAAAGAATGACTTTTCCTCCAAATGGAAAGTTGTTGTTGCAAACATCTTTTAACAACCGATCGATTGCATTTAAAGCGTGTTTGGGAATCATGGATGTCTCGTCAAGCATAAACAAACTAACTTGCCTTAAAAATTGTCCCTGAATAGAGTTAGGAGTCACATTACATGTGCTGTTATCCAGTATTGGGACAGGAAGTTTAAATAACCCGTGCAGCGTAGATCCATTTGTAAGAAGAGTTGCTGCTATGCCAGTCCATGCAGCTGTAGCAGATTTAACACCCCTACTGCTCATTTCAGCAATCAAATAATTATATGTAAAAGTTTTACCACTACCAGCTGGTCCATCCATAAAAAACAATCTGGAATGTTGATTTTCTACACATGGTTGCTTATTCAATGCAGCAAGGACAGCATTACTTACATTTAATTGATTGACATTAAGAAGCGGTCTCATTCGATTAGCTTCGTCAATTGATTGCTGAACATTATCATTTAAATTTTCTAGATTAAAATCTATGAATTCATCAACAACAGGCAAGTTATAATCAGATAGCGTTTTACCGCTTTGAATAATAATCTTTTCGATTTGAAGAAGAGTAGCTTGTTTAGCTAATATAAATGGAACTTGACGATGAATGAAATCCTCCATCATAAAAGCTTTGTATGTATTCCAAAGATGCAAAGGGTCATCAGGTTCACAAAAGGTTTAAATAATTGAAAACAGCTGTCTGATTTGCTTAGGCATTCGCGTTAAAACTGCCTCAGAAAGAGTATTCTGCCATTCAGTGTCATCTTGCAACAAACCATTAAAAACGCACGCTTCACGAAACGTTTCAAGAACTATTTCATTAACAGTACGCAGATCCTCCCAACATGTTGCTCCTTTTGCTTGCAAAAGTAACAATTTAAAAAAAAATAGTTCTCCTGTTGGACATCTTTATACATTCTTACTATCACCTTGTTTCCACCTCTTTGTCTAACCTTCCATTTACAATGTTTATCATTAAATACAAAGTGATATGGAATGTCAACATATGAGTAGCGATGGGCTCCTACATTTTCAGAATTCAATTTAAACCAGGCCGTAAGGTGTGTATCACGTTGAGCAGCACGATCTAAAACCACTTGTTCTTCTCCTTATCTAAAATACACAATCTGATTCTCAGGAAGATGAACCTTAAGACGGATAATAGTGTGTGACATGATTTATGGGATACTCAAATATTCGCCACAGTGCCTCAGGTGCACTAACATAACGACTATCTAAGAAAGTGTTTATTTATATCATCGCGATTAACCTGTTCATTTATCAAAACATTCGCACAATCATGCCCTTTGTAAATGTATTTGTACAAATATTTAACAGCCTTTACAGACATGCAAGCTTTAACATTAATGTGGGCTTGATATTTCTTTGATAACCAAGGATTAAAAGGTACCCCCAACGGTTATCTACATTTTTACCTTTAATATTGATAACCAACCCATTATCACGACGCCTATAGCGCGAATAACCATTGTGAACAGCTACTGTGTTGGCATTAAAATCTTTAGGATAATTTTTGCTGCACACCCCATCTTTCATGCAGGGAGAATTTAGATTCAGAATCCCACATGGGCCGTGAATCATGCAAGTTTTGATAATACCATAACGTTCACAATTAACTATCGGATCCGGAATTTCTGCACAAATCAAATTATCGATATCCTGTGATGTTTCAAGTTTATCATCATTTGCTAAATGAAGTAAAATGTGGGCATGCGGCAAACCACGCTTTTGAAACTCAATAACCTGAACATGCGTTACAACTTTGCCTAATACACCATAGTTGAATATATCATTGAGGAAGTTATTTAACTTAAGTTTAAATACTCGAGTAACCAAATCAGGTCTATCATTCGCATTCTGACCCGAATATAAATTTTCTGTTATTTCACGCTATTTTGGGTTGCAAGTAAAAGTAATAAAAAGATCTGGTTTACCATACTTTTTAATAATTGCCGTAGCATCTTTAAAGTTTTCTTTTAAATCTCTAGGACTTCCTACATAAGATGATGGCAAAACTACTACTCGTCCTGGTCTAATATTACGATCATTGGCGTTGTTTTTAATATGTTCATGTAAGGCATCATACTGCTCGCTTCTCAGCTTATTTTGATTATTTCTGATAAAAGCAAGACGCTGGCCTTCAATTTTTACATATGCATCTACAGCATATTGCTGAATTAGTTTCTTGCCATAAAATGATGAACAGAAAAATTGCCTAACAGAAAGTCTATAATTGTAGACCTGAGATAACGTTACATGATTTCTAACCAGCGTGGCACGCTGAGGGTTATGCACCAATTGATTATGCCAACCAGCATCACCTCTTGGGAAAAATAGCGGATAAACCATAGGATCCAAGTTGGCTGACATACTTGATACAATTTTTAAAGGATATCTCTTGGGTAAATAACAACTTCCCTGGAAGTTGGGGGAGCACCATATTCGCCAACAAATACACCTGCAACTTCATCATGTGACGGTAGATTATAACGACGTCTATCACCGCCATCAAGTAAAGACATTTTTACAACAGAAGCTGAGCAACCTTCTATAGCTGCCTTACGAATTTCTTTATCTTCTACCTTAGCCATGTTTTTAAATGCAAGAGCAAATGGACTTTGTTCCATAATTATAGTTTGTGGAGGCAAATCTACCTTACCATTATGGCAACATAGAAAATGTGTTTCATCTGGAAATTTTTTACCACCACAGTCCTGACAAATTTGATTCATTTCTCCTAAATAATTATAATCTGGAATAGCATTACTTCTCGCTATAGAATACATTCGTCCTTGTCCAACAGCTTTTCTTTCATTTTGGCGACGATTAACATTATCTCGATCGAGCCTATTTCTTTCATTTTGGCGACAATTAACATTATCTCGATTGAGCCTATTTCTTTCATTTTGGCAACGATTAACATTATCTCGATTGAGCCTATTTCTTTCATTTTGTAAACAATTAATTTCATCTCGCCTAAGTCTATTTCTTTCATTTTGTAAACAATTAATTTCATCTCGCCTAAGTCTATTTCTTTCATTTCGTCTACGATTATTTTCAACACGCCTTATAGCACTTACATCATCTTGTATATACAATACTACATCTAGCCTATCATCCATTTCATTTATATATATATATATATATATATATATATATATATATATATATATATATATATATATATATATATATATATATGAATTAAAATCAGAACATATATATATATATATATATGTTCTGATTTTAATTCATTTTCTCTAGTGACACACTGACAGTGGCTAGCCAGAGTGAAAAGCTTACTGAGAGAAAAACAAATTCACTTTGTATATTTTGTGTCTTTTTTCTATATCCTACTTTTAATATTCGTTTTTATGTTTCTATTTTTGTTGTTTCTAGGTATTCAAGTGTCCTTACATTTGTTATTGTTTTTGTTGATTCATGTTGGTTTAAAGCATTTTTTTAAATAAGTATTAGCACATTTTGGGTCCGATTTACAGTTCAACAAGAATTCTAAAACAGTTTTGCTACATAACGGAAACTGATTTCCTTTGAGTCCAGTAGTTTTTTTTTTTTTTTTAAAAGGAAGACTACAAGAACATGAAGTTGTTGAGAAAATCAACTATGACAGTTGCAAGTAGGATGTCTGTAGGATGTATGACAGTTACAAGTGGATGTATGTAGTGTTTCTTCTTGGTCTACAAGGAGGATACACAAAATACTCATGTTTTCTTTGTTTATGGGTCAGGAGGGCTGCGGACCAGCACTTCACGAGATGAAAGTGGCCGGTGAGGGAATATTTACAACCTAGTACTCACAATGTTAATAACCAATCTTTAATACTTGTCAAGAACCACGCCTTTAAATTAAACTAGGCCTTTTCAAACAATTTGTCAAAGCATTAAACCCAGCAAGTACAGTGTTTCAGCATATTTCGGAGATATATCTTAAGGTGTCAGATGCAAAAATTTCAACAGGTGTATTGCCGCATGCCGCAGATTATGTTGAGATGTAAGGAGCTGAAGGACAAAATGTCTGCTGTTGAAAAAGAAGCCTGGATTGTATTTAGACATGTTTTTTATAGTTTTTTAGGCAATAATAAGAGTAATAACTACAAAGAGCTAGTGGAAAACCTAATTGTACGGGATACAGATATGAAATGCAGAAAGTCAATAAAACTGCATTACCTGCATTAACAATTGGATTTTTTTTAGACCAAAATTTGAATGATGTATGATGGGTGACTACATCTAGTGTTTAATACGCTATGACAACATACTTCATAAAAGTAAACCACATTCTACTGTTCACTTCTAGTGTTTTTTGAGATTTTGAGAGTCTATTACATTAGAACATAATGTAACATTATGTAATATATGTATGTAAAGTGATGTAACATGACTTTTTGTAGTATAACATAACATTTTTGAACTAGTAAACGTTACATATTGACAAAGATGTATCTCATGCAATATATTTAATATTAATTAAATGTTAAATTTAATTTTCGGTTTTAAGATCAAACGGTTGATGCAACTAAAAAAGCAAAGTCAAGTTCAGACTCAGCATACTTAAATTAAATAAAAAATTTTTTTTTTTTTTTGTTTATCAAAAAAAAAATTCTTTATAACACTGTGTAATCAATCTAATATAATAATTAAAAAATGAAATAGCGTGGTGGCTACTAGGTACAAGACCACTTCCCCCGTCCAAAAAAAAATAATAATAAGGGTTTCAAAACCATAAAAAATTTTCCCTTAGGTATTTCTTAAAAAAATATTTATCATATTTGAAAAATGGATCTTTATTTTGCAGATAGGCCCTTAAAAACTCAAAAAAGATTTTTTTCTTCCTTATTTTACTGTTACTTCTCTTATTATAAATAAGAAATTATTTATCTTGTTTCTAGATAAACTTTAAAAATTTATTTCATAAAAACTTGAAAACAAGAAAATAATTACTTCTGAATTATTTTGTATTAGAAATAAGTATTTCTTGTTTCTTCATAATGGTAAAATATTAGAACAAAACTTTTAAATTTAAACAAGCAACGGCAAAAGTAGAATCTTGAATCAAAATACTTTTTTCTAAAATATTTTTTAAACGCGTAAGTTCTTGTTTAAAGATATATTTTTCTTAGTTTTAGAAACAAATAAGAAAATACATTCTTAATAAGCACGATTTTGCTGTGAACAGCACATCCTATGATAAAATGAAAATAAAAAAGTAAAAAGTATCAAATGTCTAAAAACAGAAAACTTGATAGAATTATAAATCAACTTATAGACAGATACATAATCTAAATGTTTTTAAAAACATTGTTTTTTTATTAAATTATTTAAATACTCATGTAATTTGATTGCTGCAAAGCAAGATAAATATTGCGCAAAATTATATTTTTCTGGAACAGCTTCCTCAATGGTTTTACTATAAAAAAGTAACAAAGATCTTCAAGAAAAAACAAAAGAAAAAAAAGAAAACTATATTTTTCAAAACTCTAACCAAATTTATTTTTTAATAACAACTCCGGGAAAAGTGTCGAAACGAATATTTTGTTCCTATTAACAACGCTTTCATAAGATTTAAAAAAAAATATATTTATATATAAAGTCAGTGATGGATTTAGGGTAAAAATGATCTTCATTTTTAGCAAAAACCCCATTTAAATGGTTTTTTGAAAAAGTCTCTTGATGCTTACATTCATTTTTTTAAATTAACATCTATACTATATCGTTACAACGTATTTACTTAAATTTTTTATTCACATTCTTATTATTACTTTTCACAATACATAACAGGTAAATATAAGTAATGAAATCAAAACCACGTATGTTAGTTCACATGCGGCACTTCCTACACATAACCTTTTTATTTTATAAATTGTGTTTTTTATTTATTTTAAAGACCATGTCTTATTATGCCGAGAATGAACCAGAAAAATGCGTTAGAAATATCTTGAAAAAAATTCCAGATAGAAAAAGCTAAAATTTAAACCGAGACTAAAGTTTTAATCTTTTATATATAACAACCCTAAAATATTTTATTCTGAAAAATATTTTTTAAACAAATTAAAAAAAATACCCTTCAAATCCTCTCATCTGGTAAAGTTAACTTTTTTTCTGATGCATTTAAAGCATACTTAACAACAGATTCAAAAGGTTCGTTAAATTAAAATTCTTGAGCAAATTTTCTTATCACTCCTTAATCGCTCGCGTGCCTTTTTATACTTTTTTTTTCATTAATATTCTTAGCCTTTCATTATCAAAAAAATGTTTAAAATGTCTTTATTTTGAAATAACTTCTCTGTTTTCTAAACACTGAGTTCAAGACACCAATCTTGTGGCAAAAAAAATATTAAAAAAAAAAAAATGCCATTCAAATCCTCTCATCTGTTAAAGTTAGTTTTTTTCCTAATTTGTTTAAATCATACTTACCAAGCTAGTACACTTACATTTGGCCAACGTATTTCAAACCTTTGCAAACGTTATCACTTTTTTCCAATGCAAAGTCAATGTTGATCCAACATCATTTGGTTAATGAAAAAGTTATTACCGACGAAACTAAAAACACCTGGCAAAATTACACTCGTCCAATGTCTGTAAAAACATAGCAAAAAATTGAATAATTTTACAATCTAAACCCAACGTTGATCCGATGTATATATTCTTACGTTAATTCAATGTAAATAAATCAACGTTTATACAATATTTGTAAATACATTGCAAAAAAAGATTGATTTTACAAACTAAACCCAACGTTGATCCAATGTATAGATCTCGACATTGGTTCAATGTATATAAATCAACGTTTTTCCAACGTATTTAAAAACATCGCAAAAAATTGATTGTTTTACAATATACACCCAGCATTGATCCAATGTATAGATCTCGAGATTGATTCCATATAAATAAATCAACGTTTTTCCAATGTATGTAAAGACATTGCAAAAAATTTTATTGTTATACAATCAAAACTCAATACTGATCCAATGTCATATTTCGACATTGATTCAATGTATGTAAATACATCAAAAAAAGTTTATTGTTTTTACAAACTTTACCAAACTTTAATCCAATGTATGCGACCAAACACTGCTATTACAAAATTAATTAACTTAAATAAAATCTTCCGCGATTTTTAATTGGATAATAAAGCGTTTCCAACTTTATAAATACACTTTGCCTGTTTTTACCTTTTCTATAAATAATGGTTTTCCTCGCTTGGGACGTTAAATATAAAAAGGTCTTTTAGTGGTCCATACTATTTTCTTTATATATATATATATATATATATATATATATATATATATATATATATATATATATATATATATATATATATATATATATATATATATATATATATATATATATATATATATATATATATATATATATATATATATATATATATATATAGATATATAGATATATATATATATATATATATATATATTATATATATATATATATATATATATATATATATATATATATATATATATATATATATATACATATAAAGAAAATAGAATCTAATAAAAATATATTTCCGAATAGTATTGAATACAACGTTTTGCCAACTAAAGGTC